AAAAAAAAAAAGAAAGAAAAAGAAAGAAAAAAAAATTCCAATACTTGCAACACATCTAAATAAACGGAATCTCGTTAATCATACGCCATAAATTATCTCTACTTTTTCCTTTTCCTTTTCGTGTTGTCGTTTCTTCCATTCCAATTCGTTTTATCACCCGAAAGCTTCGCGATCTTTTTCCACCGATATTTGTTACCATTTTATCTTTCGGAATTACACATATATCCGATAAAAAGTTGCCGAGTATCCATACCATAGCCAATAAAAATTTTAATCTCGCGATATGAATGATCGAATAAAGTAGAAAGAACATTACAATCGATATCAGAACTTTTATACAGATCGAACTTTTATACGTACAAATCATTATAGTTTAAATGACAATAATCATAGACTTGTGCAATTATGTCACTGTCTCAATATAAATCAATTTCGACAAAAATACCCGTGTCTGTTGAACAATTATGGGAAAGAAAAATTTCAAATATTGATGGAGAGGTTCGATTGTGCTAGTATTAAAAGCAGAGAAATGTGAATCTCTCCTTCTCTCTCACTCTCTCTCTCTCTCTGAAATTGAAATGTTCTCTCGAAATGTCACGTCTTCTCACTTTATCGTTCGCCATTTCCAATCAATTTTTTATTTAATTTCACAATGTCGTTTTTCTTTCGTGGAATTATTATTTCTGTTATTTCTCTTCTGTGAAAGGTTGAACACGTTAAGATTTGAAAGAAACAGCAATAAGCTTCTTCAAGCAAACATTCCATTTCGTGATATCACAGTTTCGTTAATAACACAGGTCTTCAAAATTTATCTCGTTGCACTTCGAAACATCCTTCTTGAAAGAAAGAAGAAAACAACATGAAAATATTTCTTTTTTATTCTGACGAGTGGACTCACAATGGAAATCCATTTACAGCAACGACATTTTATCGAATGGCCGAACTGGAAATCCTGTTAGAACGAAAAATAATAAACAATGGACTCCTCGATTGTTCACCGACAGATTCAGAAGAATAAATATTCGTCTAACGGAAACGAGAAATTTACCAAACTAATTCCGAGAATCAAATAAACGGTTCGACGGTAGAAAATTCTACTACCGGAACGAAAAATAATAGACGGCGAAGAGAACTTCTTTGGAGAAAAATAAAGTTCCAGCATATTTCCATATTAATTCGTTGCCTCGACGAACTTCAATTACAGCGTGGAGATACGACTGTACCAACGACAATGAAAAATTTCGGCTGATGTAACTTGGTGAAACGAAAAACGTGTAACGATCCCACTCATCTCGCTTTAAAGAGCGAAGCCTCCACTCTGACAGCCGTTCTTCTCTATGATTTAGGTTATGTTAGGTTAAGTTTTACGTCAGGCGGCTGGTGTTTCTCCGCTTGAAAAATCGTTGAAATTCGAACGCGCGTAGAAGCGTGTTGGAAAAAAATTTCTTCTCACGGCTAAATCGAGCACAGTCTTGAAGACTGAAAGCTAAAATTTCTTCTCGCTTTATTCGATCTCTCGAACTTCGATCATTCAAGATGAGAAACAAGTCGTGCAACAACGTTTCAAAAAGTCGTCTTTTCTAAAGAAAGGGGACTTCAGTGTTCGAAACGACGGTTCTACGGTAGAAGATCTTTTATATCTTTCACACGCGCTTGAATTTTCATTGATAATTCACGTGGAAGGAAGTGGATTAAACGCACGACGTAAACTCATCTTCGAGAGGAACGTTCGCCACGACTGTCACCGTAGAGATCTCACGCTTTCAAACGAGATCGAGTGGATCGAGTTGCACGATCGTTTCTCGATCCGAATTATCGAACACGACTTCATTGTCACTGGTATTGGATGTGTGCCTCCCTCGAATGATAGAAAACCGTATTCAATAGACAAATTAATTCGCCCCGGATGAAATCGAGAAATTCAGCGTGAACGAAAAGCGAGAAATCGATCAGTCCGACTTCGATCCGATTTTGAATCACCGCGTAGAGTAGGCAGAGTAGCGTGATACTCACGTTACCCTCGATTGTGTTCGTGTAAACTTTCCCGTGCAGCCGGAGCATTTCTGGCGTCAGACAGGTTGTGTAGTTTGCCCAGCCGTGAAGATATTCCTCGTTGCTCGTTCCATTCTGGCCCTCCCAGCGGCCATTGTAGCCGCACTTCTTCTCCACCGATTCTAAACAGACATGCAGCAATTCACCCGCTTTCCGTAGAATACGCATATGCACACACACACATACATATATACACACGTGTGTATTAGTTCAAGTAAACTTCGCGAAAGAGCGAAAGAAATCGATCTAACTCGGCCAATTAGAGTTGTTTGATTAGCAATTTGCTGGGATGCTGTGCACCCGCGTCGGATCAAATAAGCTTCGACTTGCCCATCATTCGTCTAACAACTTTGCCGAATTATTTGCCGAAACAGAGGAGAGTTGCGCGCTGGTAGTTGGTTCCGAGGTTATCGCATTCCGCTCCCATCGATTTCGGAATGTTTGAACTACTTTTGCGAG